TTCATATTTGTGTTTTGGAGAAGTGACAACAGAAAAGAACAAATTTGGACGACGAGTTTAATGCTGGGCAGTCTCTGCACGGTTAATCACAGGTTCAAGGCTGCTTTCAGAGCCAGCCCTGCCCAGCGCCCCATATAAACTCCCAGGTTCATGTCAACAGGCTGCTTCAGCTCAGACTCCATAGCTGTGGTGTGCACATACCTGAGCTTGCCTTCGCATGGCCCCAAGCCGTGTTTCATGAGGTGCTGCTGAGTAGCACTGTGTGTGATCGCCCTGCAAAGCCCACATTTATCCTCTGCTATGATATTGCTGGAGTGTCCCAAACTGGGTCACTCCCAGCAGTGTGGGCGGAAAAGGTGCAGGTTCCAATGCTCTGAGGTTCTACCATTCTCAGACTGTTCTTCGCCTTTGGTGTAGTCGCAGTCCTATAATAAAGCTGGGAACATACAGATAAGTCCAGACATACAGAATATATATTTAAGCAAGAAAAAGCATGGATATTAACCACCTACTCCAGTGGCAGCAAATTCCTAAACTGATATTTAATGCATTTAACCATACTGCAAAGGCTGACCTGAATCCTGTATACATAGATTCCTAAATGATCTGTAAAATAAGTATTTACATACTTACATTTCCCATGAAATCCAGGATGATTTTACTTCCATTTCAGAGAGAGTGCAATAGCACCTAGAAACTCCAGCCAATAACAAGCCCATTGCCTTAAGTAGAGGAAAAACAGGAAGATAATGAGAAGTCCTCTTCCTGAGGAATATTTAGTCTAGAGAAAGATGGCAGACAAAAAGCAGTAGAAAGAAAATACTAGATGGAAAATTGAAGGACAGATGGGTTATCTGATTTGCCAAAGAAGGGACAGGATTTGTCTATGTAATATTTTGTAGACAGAAATGGCGATGTGACTTCAAATCTGGAACTGCCTCCTGATCTCACAGCTTGGAAAATAATAGGATAAGCCCTTACTTACCAAAATCACTTGGACAAAAAAGAATAGGGAATAAATGGAACAGAATTGAGGGATCTGCTCACGTGCTCTAACCACTGAGATTTCCTAATTTCTCAGAGGAATCCACAAGATTTGGTCATTTAAGATTGCAAGCACTGTCCCACTTTCCTTGTTAGGTATGATTTGATTAACCCTGCATTCTTCCATTGCCTTGTACATCTTAATTGCAGGAGGCAGAATTTTTTTATTTCTGCAGTAATTATCATGACACAGTGTTGCAATTTATTGGTTCTGAGGTACTGCAGTACAGATTACTTTCTATAAACATTTGGACATAATCACCAAATTCAGCACAGCTTCATAAATAGGTTGATACTATTCCAAACAATGTTTGTGGGGAAAATGAGCTACATCCTGAAAAAATTGCTCAGTCCTACCACAGAGAAGGTACTTAAGCCTGTCAAAATTGCAATGAGCATCAACTGGAGACATACAAAATGCAGCTTTGTACCTGGCCCACACACATTGTCACCTCTGTACCTCCAACTCCTGCTGTCTGCAGCATACCAGGAGTGACACTGAGTCTGACTGCAAACTCTGCGGGCCAGGAAAGATTCACAGCTTGGGGAAGGTTTACTCTAATCTGGCTGTAGCCTGGTCCTAAGGTTTGAACACCCATTGGCAGCTATGGTGCATTAGGTGCTTTCCTGGGGCACTTTATCTGTTTTAGTGTCTTTCAAAAAAAATTTGATACGTTGCTCCGAAACTGTGACGCCCAGTCCAAACCAAAGCACGGTGAGCAGGAACGGTTTGGAGATTGGCTTTGAAAGCCCACACCTGAACTGAACTAAAACATTCATGGGAACATGTCCTGCTTATCCCTACGTGCCAACATTAAATGGCATCACACTGGCTTTTCCCAGCCTGCAGGAGAGCAAGACACCTTTATTTTCTTCTTTGCAAATTTTTCTCATATGGGAATGTACAAGATGGAGAAAAACAGATCTTTTATAGATATGTTTTTTTTCACTCTAATAGAAAAGAGTTCTACTACGGATATTATAAACAAGCCTATGGGTTACAGTCTGTGGATATTTATTCTCTGCCCAGTAATTCTGTAGGAACTCCTCAACTTCTATTAGATTTTTTCATTATTCTTGATTCAGAGTTTAATCTGTAAAGTCAATTCCATTGAACATTACCGGCATCATCATCATTAAATTCATCCGTGCCACATCTCCATTTCATGATGACCCTGTGTCAGGAAAGGTCCTTGACTGAAGACAGCACTCGTGGATGAATTTAAGAATATGTGTTCAAGTTCCAGCAAGAACAATAGGCTAACTAACACTTAAGTGAACAATGTGTTTAAGGCTACTTAAATCATACTTGTTGCAGAGATAGATTTCAAATATTTTTACTCTTTTTTCTGACTGAGAGACTACCTTTTAGCTTGTGTATTCAGGCCTCCCTTAAAACCACTCATAGGATCACTGAGGTAAATGGGGTTACTTATATGCTTCAAGTCTGATGTGCCTAAGTACTTTGTGAAATGGGTTGAAAATCACTTTCAGAATTAACTATTTTTTTCATACTGGCATTTTTTAAGACTGTATTGTGGTATGTTAAAGAGCAAAAATTTTCTTTTGTCTCAGTTTTCAAGATGTTCCCCTTAACTACAGAGTCTTGAGGTACTGTAAACCGACAGTCAGACTTGACAGGTTGGATTTGTCCCGACATAGCAAAGTGAGGCAGTTAAAATCTCAGGGAAATGTTTTCTCCAGCTGCAGGAAGCATATTAAAATTCTCACAACAGCTAATTCCCTCACAACTCCATTGACAATTGCCAGCAGCTTCTATGAAGATCTAAGCAACCTCATTACAAATCATCAGGTGAACTGAATGAGGTTCAATGCTTAAAGAAAGTGAGAACAAAAATTCTATAAAACTGAAGCAGAAAGCCCAGTGGACAGTGTTCCTGTAAGAATTAAGTTATTACATTTTTAAGCAATCACACACAATAAAGCAGCTGAAATACCATTTCATAATAAATACTATTGCTGATGCAAATCTGATTCATTCTAATGGCTACTGTAATTAACTGCACGGTTTGTGAGCTGTTAATTTTGAGGATGAATAATTGGTTAAACCAAGTTTTGTGTATTGCAATGTAATACGCTTGTTCAATTTTCCACTTAATTTCAATTAATATGGGGTTTACATGTATTCCACTGTTGCAGTTTTTACGCCTATTATTTTTAATTAGGAAAAAGCAATACCTTGGTAGAACAGAACAAATGAGCAACACTGCGTGTTGTTTCCAAGGTTTTTTTCCCATTAAAGATATTTCGAGCCCGTATCACTGAACTATCCAAACTGTTAATCACTGTTCCTGAGGTTGACTGGAACTGGGAGTGCCAGCTCCCGCGTGAAACAGAAGGGAAAAAGGCAACTCTCAGTCTCCTCATTCACTTACTGACCTCTACACAATGATTTTCAGTTTGAACTATGTGTCTTCGCTACCCTTCCTGATGTTTTCAGCACTCCAAAATGTTTTAGTGATTAGAACTGCGTGGTGATGTTCCTGTTCACCACCAAAAAGGTGAGCTTGTAGATGCACCTATTTTATGATGGGATCAATCACCAGCTGGAGATTCTTACTCATCTCCACAAAAGGTGCCTAAACATCAGACTGGATGCTTGTCTTCTGGATGGATATTGTTAAACTAGATGAGTGCCACCCTCAGAGTCATACATTAGTCTTTATTTCTTTCAAGAAAAAAATTACCTGTACATCAGTCTTTTCGTGGCATAAATTACTTCTCACATTGTGCTGCCCCTGTAGCTCAGATGGGCAGGTATCAGCTCCATCCCTGCTGCTTGCCAATGCCTCTATGGGAGGCAGACTCTCACAGAGTGGACAGAGAGGGTTATTTGCATTCCCTTTACTCCTGGCTGCCCACACACGGGACTCCCTGGCTCCTAGGGATTGTTGCTTGACTGATAAAAGGAGAGCAAATGTTCTAGTAGAGCTCTCTGTTTGTCCTCCCTCCAGAGCCAAATCTTTCCAGGTGTCTGACAAATTCCCAGCACCATTGATGCAGTTGCTTTATCTCTGACTCTTCTCACTTCCCCAGTATTAAAGATCTGATGGCTGGAGTGCAGCTGGCAGCTTTGCTGATGATATACGAGGCAGAAAACCTCCAGCCTACTCTTCCTTAGTTGGACTGGTGCAGTCAACAGAGTGATTCTGTGTCATTAATAAAACTGGGTTATAAAAAAAAGCCTTCAGGGTGCTGCTGAATGAATTTTTATTGTGCATTTCGCAGAAGCTTAAGTAGAAAATAGAAATCCAGACATTATGTTTTAAAAGCCAGACAAAGTAAGGTTAACCAATTCTGGCTAAACAGAGTCATTGCCTAACCCACATCATCAAACCCTTCACAGACATTTTAATGCATTCATCTGCATTGCATCATTATCCTCACTTCGTAAATAGAGAGGAGCAAGAGACATAGAAGTAGGAGAGTTATTAGCACAGGAACTTTTGGTACAGTAAAGGAGGTCAGTCTGTTTGCATAGGATTGGTTCCCATGTCTCTGAAACAAAAGAGTTAGCATGTTAGCATTTACACCCCAGCAAAAGATTTCTGAGGATTTGGAGAGATTTCTGCAGGCAGGGAGAAGTTCCTGGATTCCCCAAAAACATTATATTATAATGTTCATGACACATGCTTTAAAAAAACACATGGAAGAGAAGTAGTCGAAAAACAACATATGTGAGGTGTGGAGCTGCACAGAGAAAGGCATCAGCTGGATAGTAAAATATTTAAGGGGAGCCTTTGCTTTCATTCCTTCCTTTTTTTTTTTTAACATGGTCAGTGTATGTACCAGTAAAAGCATCTGCTATGAGCTGTTTAAGACACTTAAAAAGACTTTTTCCACTATTAATAACCAACCCACCAACAGATGTCTGAAGAGCTGATCATATTTCAGCCCCGTTCACTAACCACCCGCTTTGTGATGTTCCTCGGCAGGCCAGATGACCCTGAGGACGCAGCATGTTCAGGACTCCAAGATGGGCTTTGTAATCAACGCAATATACTCAATGGCGTACGGCCTCCACAACATGCAGATGTCGCTATGCCCAGGCTACGTGGGCCTCTGTGACGCCATGAAGCCCATAGATGGTCGGAAGCTCCTGGAATCCCTCATGAAGACTAACTTTACTGGGGTCTCTGGGGACATGATCTTGTTTGATGAGAATGGTGACTCACCAGGAAGGTAATGTTGACATTTGTCAAACTGTTTGTTTTTACAAACAGACATTTTAACTGTACATAGTAGTTGAATGCAGACTTGACATCAGAACTAAGATCTCATACTTTTATTTTCACATTTCCTGACTTTCTGTGCTTATTTTTTCAAAATAACTTTTTTTTTTAATGTGCATTTTTAATGATGTTTAAGGTTAAAGACGTGAACTTTCAGGCATACAATCTTCCTGCATGAATTCATGTTTTCATCTGTACCATTTAAAGGTATTACTTCTCACTACAAACCATCAGACCTTCAACTTTATGTTCATAGGCCATAACGGTCACCACAGCACTGCTCTCTCTCAATTTGGGTGTTTAAATGTATGTGTTTGATTGAGAGATAAGTAATCGTAGCAGACATAGTTCTTTTATTAAGAAAAGCAAAACACTATCAGAAATATTATGTTGATTTGTCCGGGGTTTTTTTCAATCACAATTATTAAAAATCTGCTTCCATATCTTCCAAGTAAAGCCTTTCCACCTGCATAACGGACTAAGATATTAATTCATACTGTGCTGCTATAAGCCAAATTGGATTTAAAAAAAGCTTCTTTTGCTGATAACTTACATATGTGTATATAGCTACATCTATGAAATGTAAGACAAGTTTTCTTTTTCTATGACTTACATGCAGTAACCATATAAATGCACATTAAAATGAGTAATGAGGGTTTTTTCCTGGGTTTCTGCCTATTGAACTCTCAGAAGATGAACAGCAAGTGTGATAGCATTCAAAGTATATTTTTTCCCTATATTTCAGTGGGTAGATTCCTGCCTCATTCACTGCTTTTGCTCCAGTTTGGTTGAGGCAGTCCTTTCTGTCTACATTACCGGGAAGTTTTTAAACGTCTTTGTGATGTCATCATATAAACAGATGACGAGAGGGAAAATTGTTCATCCTGTACACTCATTTAAATTTTGTCTTCTCCCACTAATGTGAACTAAAAGGAAAGCATTAACTTCCGAGTAGAGATGGGTAGGAAAAGGTAAATCCACTGGTCAGAACATTTTGACATTTCCAAAATTTCTGAAATTTCAGAACTGAATTTTTTTTTCATTTTATTAGAAAACCTGTAAAGTCAGCATTCTCCCCAAAAGACAGCAGGACAGCCACCTACAAGGCAGTCTGCTTGTGTCTCTGGAGACACAAATTTTCGAACTCTTCAGACTCAGACTTTAAGGAAGTGCACTGTGAGCTGTAGGAGAACTCAGACGCAAACTGGCAGAAACCCAGGAAAATTTCAGATGGAAATTTATTTTCAGCACTGTTTTGGTGAGCAAGGCTGTCTTCCACTAAACATTTCTATTTTTACAAATAGCTGAATTCCGAAGAAAAGTGCTCAGTCTGGATTTTTCTGACCAAATTATTTTTAAAAGACTTGTCCCAGACTTATCTTAAAGGATTCCTGTTTGGTTTTAATGGCGCTCAGATGCAGTAGACTGCATCCTACCTTATTCCTACCTGTTTCACTCATCTCTTGCAGAAAGATTGAAGACTGCCACGAATAAATGATATGTGGCCTGTCACAAATAAATGATATGTGGCATGACAACACCAATGACAATATCTAAATGTTGCAAGGAGACCTTTAGTTTTTCCTCGTGTTGGCATGCTTAACAATAATGATTTAATTCCATTTGTTGCAAGGAATTTAATTGAATGTCTTGGGTATTTTTAAATTCAATTCTAAGAAAGATGAAGGAATTATATCATGTGCAGACATTTGCTCAGTCACAGTAGGACATTAGTGTTTCACTGAAGAGCATGGGGACACCATGTTGATTGTGGACCTCAAGGTAACGCAACTTTAAGAAAGTCCAGCTCCACTGGATTTGTGTGAGATAAAGTAGAGCTCTGTCTCCTCAATCTGATGGACTGTGTGTGGTGGCAAAATGCTCCCAGAGTTTGTTTACTTTTGAAACATAGTTCTTTGTTCCCGCTTCTCCTACAATAGTCACATCATTAAATCCAGTGTATGTGCTTAAATTAGCCAATATTGAGTTAAAATTTATTTTTTCATGATTAAGAAGGCTTTGTAGGAAGCTCCATCTCTAACTCCCAGGTTTCGAGTAGTTTATAGTCTTTTGAGCACTGCCAAATACTATTTGCAACAGCTGGGAGATGGTGCAGTCAGACTGGAACAACTCATCTCCCCTGTTCACTTGCGTTGATAGCTGTATCTTCACTTTGTAAAACAGAAATTTAAATCCTTACAGCTGTACTGTGGTGGTGGTGTTAAGCAGGAAATCAGAACATAAAAAGCCTTTCTGACCTAGATAGCTCAGGATTTTGATGTATAGCAAAGTGTTTTGCTATTATACAACAGATGATTAATCCCACATGATCCTTTGAATCCTGGCCCTATTCCAAAGTCCTTTATGTGTATGTTGAGCTCTAAGCAGATAGACAGTCTAGTGGAGGCCTTGTTTTAGGTGAGACAGAAGACATGGGAAAAAATAAATGACTATGGAAGGAACAGCCATGATTTCTTGCTACCTGTAAATACTATTGAAACTCCAAGGAAGAAATTAGGAAAGCAATAAAAGGCAAGAAAAACAAGATGCTGATGTTTTGGCTGTGCTACCAATAGAACATGGATTCTCAGCAACTTCATGGCACTTCTGTTTTGAAACAAGTGTTTTGCACTGTGATTAGGGCACTGCTGGAAATGTGTTATTGCACCATCTGGTCTCTCCTATCCTAAAGTGACAAACTGTCCCTGTGGTATCTTGTCATGGTTTAACCCCAGCCAGCAACTAAGCCCCACACAGCTGCTCACTCCCTCCCCCCTGGCAGGATGGGGAAGAGAATCAGAAGACTGAAAGTGAGAAAACTTATGGGTTGAGATAAAGACAATTTAATAGGTAAAGCAAAGGCCGTGCACACAAGCAAAGCAAACCAATGAATTCATTCACTACTGCCCATCAGCAGGCAGGTGTTCAGCCATCTCCAGGAAAGCAGGGCTCCATCATGCGTAACGGTTACTTGGGAAGACAAACGCCATCACTCCGAATGTCCCCCCTTTCCTTCTTCTCCCTCCAGCTCTATATGCTGAGCATAATATCATATGGTATGGAATACCTCTTTGGTCAGTTGGGGTCATCTGTCCCGGCTGTGTCCCTTCCCAACTTCTTGTGCCCCCCCAGCCTACTCGCTGGTGGGGTGGGGTGAGAAGCAGCAAAGGCCTTGACTCTGTGTCAGCACTGCTCAGCAGTAACGAAAACATCCCTGTGTTATCAACACTGTTTCCAGCACAAATCCAAAACATAGCCCCATACCAGCTACTGTGAAGAAAATTAACTCTATCCCAGACAAAACCAGCACATATCTCTAAGAAGCTCCAGGGAACCAGTGACCCATGAACCTTCACTATAGCAATGGACTTACTGAGTCTGGCTATTACTATCAGTCCACCAATGCTGTTCTCTACAGAGGGCTTGCAAGAGACAACATATTGTGGAAATAGTTTAATTTGTCAGGTTTCTTTCCAGTATTCCCCTCGGGATGTATGCATGGAACTACTACTGGAGGGATAGTTGTTTTAGTTCCTGTGGCCTGTTTGAGCATTGGCAGTACTTTTGTTCATCTGCCCATAAAAGTCTGAACTGACAGCTTTAACAAAGCAATACTCAGAGGAGTGTTACAATGTCCTGACAATGCTGAATAAAGACCCCAGAGTGGCTTCTGGGCTAACTTTTTAGTTAGTCTGTTTAATCCTTGAACAGACTGTTACTATGCCCATGAACCTCAGAAAAAAAACTTGTTTTCTGACCATGCATAAAAGCCTGTTTATTTCAGTTTGTGTGTGTGTTATCTGGATTCAGTTCATTTCTGTCAGTCCGGTATTCACATCTCCAAGTTTGATGAGATCATTCTCAAAGCTATGGATATTTTCTTCTTTATACAGGATGGAAAGTGAAATATTCCAAAATGCAGGAGTATCATAAATTTTTCTTCCTACCTCTGTCATTGCTTATTTTTTCTTCTTGCGGAAATACTCAAGACTCATATGATATGGGTAATATCATATTGCCCATCCAGTCAGGCTCCACTTTCATTTTCTTTCAGAGGTTGCTTGCAGTCCTAATCCTGACCTGTGTGTGATTTTGGCACTGAATCCCTGCCACAGTTTCTCCACTGTGACAGTTATACTTTGTTTCCTGATGCAAAGCATTCTGAGATCCATGGATGGAGAATATCATAGAAGAGTTTTACCATAATTATTTTTATGTCAGCCTCGGAAAAATATTGATGCTAGATATAATATGGCTACTGCTTGTCAGTCTTAAAAGTGTTTTCTCAAAACTTAAGAGAGAAACTTCAGTATCTTATGTAAGAGATAGCTTGATTTAATGTGCTGGTTCTTTTACTTATCTATACATTGGACTTCACAAACTACACTCTGACAGTATCAATCTTAATACAACCCTGTCCATATGCTTTGCCTTGGGGTCTAATTTTGTGCCTGCTGCCAGGAAAAAGTTGTCTCCTTGTTTATGAACCAGGCAGGTTTTTTAAACCTATGATTGGGTTCATCTTCTCAGTCTATATGATTTGCTTATTTTCCATCAGTGAATTTCATGTTGCTTAGTCAGATAGCTGCAAAACCCACTAAAGAGGAGGTAAAGAAAAGCATGACATCATCACTTCAGGAGTTCCCCAACTTTCCAAGCATGCCTTACAAATAAGTGCTAAAAGAACAGGCCTGTAAGACAGAAAGGTGGCCTGGTGTTCAGCACGCCAGTAGGAGGCTAGTGAGTCCTACGCTGCTCCGCAGACTTTCTGTAAGACTCTGTGGGAGATAAAAAGAAAGAAGGAGGAAGAGGAACATGAACCTGAAAACTCTGATCAGCTCTAGCTCTGCTCTTAACACTTCTCTTCCCAGATAATGAGGTGATCTGACCCAAAAGCAGCCTAGGTCTGAGGCATGAATACTCTTTCTCTTCCATACCATACTGTACAAGGAATTAAATGTGTTCTGATCACTGAGGAATTACATAAAAATGAAGGGGGTTGTATGGATGGGAGAGAGTAGCATTTGCTGCTGCAATGCTGTAGAAGAAAAAGGCAAAAAAAGAAGCAAGTCTCAACTTCATTCTTCAAATGCCTGGACTACAAGGTGCCTCTTGATAAGAAGATCTCCCTGAAGCCTCCAGCAAGTCCCAGAGTCCTGGAGGCTGTGCCTGAAGAATGATGCCTGATTCCCCTCTGAGTGCCACACCAAATTGCATCTTGCAGTCTTACAGCACAGGAAGTTTCTTTTGGTCCCACAGGCCTAGGTTGCACTTTAGGAGCTTAGCTGTCTTCAGGCTTCCTCTCTCAGGAGGGAAATAAGCACCTGCAGACAGTGAGGAGGACTTAGCGTTGGGAATTGCCATTATAGGTTTAGATTTCTCTGCATCTGCTATAGAGGGAGCCTAGGACAGTTAGGGTTCCCTATGCAGTTGGTTTCAGTGCTGAGGGTTACACAGGATGAATCCTGTCCGGCTCATTTCATTGTTTTCCTTAAATAAATAACAGTCATTCTCAGAAGCTCAGTCACTTAACCCCAAAGTGTTCAGGGAACTTCCATGGTGATAGAAGAAAACAAATTAAAATACAAAGGAAAAGAAAGATTATGATATCACAAAAATTATTGGGAGAGACTCAAGGGCAAGCATAATGCTTGAAATTTTGCCTTCTTTATTCACCAAGCTTGATTTTGGCTGTATAGTGTTCCTTTTATTTGAAATATTTCATGATGTTCTCCTCAACTCAGCTATGTCTCCCCTTTGTGTTTCCAAAGATATGAAATCATGAATTTTAAGAAAATGGGGAAGGAGTACTTTGATTACATCAATGTTGGCAGCTGGGACAATGGTGAGCTGAAAATGGACGATGATGAAATATGGTCAGAGAAAAATAATATCATCAGATCTGTGTGCAGTGAACCCTGCGAAAAAGGCCAGATAAAGGTAAATATTTTCTCCATTTACTTCAGTCATGTAGAATGCATAGCCTTGAAATTTGAAAGCAGGTTTTTCTTGACCCTTACATGGAGACAGTATCCCACACCTTAATTAAAATGTACAGACTTATGTATTTAGTTCTTACACGTATCATAGTCGTCTCACTATTTTCATAAGTTGCCATTTTCTTGTACTCCTATATCTGTGAACTGATGACTTTTTTATACTTATATTCCAAATGCTTTAGTACAGGTATTGTTTGGGGGTTTTTTGCTGCATATTTTTACAGCATCTGATTCAGTGGAGTGCAAATCCTTGACTGGGACTTGTCAGTACAATTGCAGCTAAATTATAAATAATAATTGCTACTATTTCAGTGCTAGACATAGACATCTAGACTGGAACATTATTACTCAGATCTTAATTCTGTGGTATCATCAAAGAACATCGATAACTACCACTACTTAGAACTTCAGGAAATGTAGGTAACATTTTTTTTTTTAATCCTACCTGTTTTACTACCTCTTTGTTCCCCAGGTTTTTGATTTTTTATTTCCTCCCTTTCCATGTTGCAGTAAGGAGGGCAGATGAATCTGTCATATATTAGCTGTTCTCTGTCATCCTTCAGCATCCCATGACACGTAACTGCAGAAGATTTAAAATACTGCAAGTCCTTAGCTTATCTTGCAGTCATTTATATAAAAACCTGTGGACTGAGGGGATGGTCATGGGCAACAGAGTGGCTCAGACTGAAAAAAAGCAGCTGTAATTTCTGACATGTCTCACTGGAAGCTTCAAGGATCACTTTTCTCCTGTGTTAACATGGCATGCCTGCAAAACTGGGAAGCAGCTACAGTAAGGGGCTGATGGGAGGCTGGCCATGCTCTGCAACACAAAGTGAATCTCTTCAGTCTGAGTTTTCCAGAGTTTTAGGACACAGTCACCATATTTTATTCACTAACTGGTCTTTGGCAGTCAGTAAGCGAGTTTCATCAGACCAAATGTCTGGTGTAGGCATATACAGTTATATCAGATTTCTGAACTTTCTTTATAGTCAATGGAAATAATATATTATTGCAGATCAGGAGTCATCCTCATGTAGGCTTTGAAAACGTGAGAAGATAGAGATGGACAAACAGATAATAACTTCAGAATTGGGCAGCTCTGAGTTCCCTTATGATCTGTTGCCACAACACAGGGGATGGGAAGTATCTTGTGATCTTCATTAACACAGTCTCCTTCCACCTTCTGCCCATGCTCTCAAGGATTCTCCCCAAAGGATTCTTCACTATGAAGCTGATTCATCACACACTTAGACACATGCTTGAAGTCCAGTGTCTGAAATATTCTTTCTGCTCCTCATTAGGATATTGATTATAAATCTCAAAGTTTACTTCACAGTCCTTTATCTTCATGGTTTTCACAGATGATGGGGAGAGCTTGACCCTGCGAAGCTCCGTGGTGGTTTTCCTGCAGAATTCTGTGGGACTGAGTTATTATACAGGAATTTGAAACATTCAGTGTAATGATATCCAACACTCAGCAACATTTGGTACATCTGTCTGAAGGACTTGATAAAATCCAAACACAATCCAGCTCTATACATTTGAAATAGTGTGGACATATGATTATTTAAATAAACAGGTTCAAAGGATTGCCCAGATGACAAGAGGAAGGGAAAAGAATTTTTGTTTTAAAGATAATTATTTTTGTTAAAAGGGTCAGAAAAGATTGTTTTACAGTTAAGTGCTACAACAATTGTTCAAGAAATGAAAAATAAAATGATTAAGAAATAACTGACTAAGCAATTTAATACAAAAAAGTCTGACCTGATTCTGAGTAGTGGAGAACAATTATTTTGATTCCTAGAGAAGGATACATAATTCTTCTCTGGATTAACCCCCAGTTAGTGCTGGGTAAGAAATGATCAGTGTACCAGTTTTCTGACAGATTTGTCAAATTCCAAGTATTTTATAGAAGATGTTGATTTGGTGAAAAGTTTAACAGAAAAGTGTAAATGAATTGTTTTGATAAAAAGTCTGGGTGTTTTGATAATAACATATGGTTTCTATTTTGCCATTTCATTTTTAGAGTATTTTATACATTGCAAAATTATGAATTTTTATAATGCATCAAGTTTACCAAACTATGTGTCTAAAAATTAGTACAAGCTTTCTAAGAATTGATTTTCCCAGACACAAGAAATTTTGTCATTTGTTCAACTTCTCATTCTAGTTCAAACTGAAAGAAATCCCAAGATGTGAATTCTTCTGGAGGACAGATATTCTGTTTTGCAAGTAGCTCTAGTCTCAACAATTGCAGGGCAAATCACTTATGCTCCCATGGCCTTTTAGCTATTCAGGTGTGGCTTTTTTTTCTTTTCATACTCTACAATTTTAAAAGCAAAACCAAAAATTGAAGTTTTCAAGTCCCCATATTGCTGATGAAAATGATATAATTTACACTTTTTTCACTGCAGCATTGCAAAGAGTAATCCAGTTCTTTTTGATTATACTCCTTTACATTTCATTTATTAAAATTGCAATGAAGACATCTGGTTTTGAAGCCACCTTGTAAATCCATCATTGCAAAAGATACATAAGTCAACCTACTTTTTATGTTATAATTGGGAGCATTCATTTAAAAATTGTTTGGGAAGAGCAGAGAATCTGGGAGTACTTTATTTCAGAAGAAAGACATATTGACAAGAAGCACAGATGTTTTCAGTGCCCAGAGATGATAAATAAGGATCTTGAAAAATCCGCATCTCAGTCATGAGCATGCAATAACATTTGGCAGCAAATTATAAAATGAGAAATCAGGTCAGATGATAAAATGGATAAAGATAACATTCTCACTTTTAAGTGTTAATTAGAAATGCATAATTAAATAATCCTGGAAAAGGCATGTTCAGTTTGATGTCTGGAAAAAATCAGTTTTAACAAATGACTCACAATTGGATGAAAAATAAGCACCCAAAAAGCTTTGAGTAATGAACCCTTAGGGAAATAACACTGTTGACATGATTCCCTGTATGGACCACAATGGAGTGTTTTATATGCCTTGAGTGTCATGCACTGGCTTCTGTAGGCACATTGCCATCTATGAAATTTTGAGTTTTGCTAATTCTAAGAGGGGAAAAAACATCTTATTGTCATTCTGTACCTCCACTTGCAGTTCTGTAGGGTTGATGGTTTCTTTCTTCTGGTATATACATGATGGAAGAACTGAGAACTTGTGTCATATTTTGTATAAGCAAGCATATCATGAAAAGGAATCCCCTTTAAAATAAAATTTAAAAAACCCCTCCTTCAAAAAAAAGAGATTAAAAAATTAAATTAGCAACTGGGGCAGCATGAATGCTGCTATGTTTATGCTGCTAAACCAAATGTCAATTTTTGTCTCAGGTGATCCGTAAAGGAGAAGTGAGTTGCTGTTGGACCTGCACTCCTTGTAAAGAGAATGAATATGTATTTGATGAATACACATGCAAAGCCTGCCAGCTCGGCTCGTGGCCCAACAACGACCTCACAGGTAAATGAGTTGTGGCTGTGCTTATGTTGTCAATGAAAATGTTCCTCTGTTGAGCTGAAGGAACAAATGCCAGATACAAGTGAGTATGAGGACTGTTTCCATCAGAGCGAACCCAAGGATAAAGCTGAAATTTGAACTGAGGTTGGTATTTTTCTTCTTGCCTCAACATGATCCAGGAATCATTGGTGTAATTCAGCTGCTTTCTAAAGACCTGAGTTACTAGACCTAGAAATAAAAAAAAATAGTCCTGGTTTTTGTATTCAACCCTGTCCTAACATCTAGCTGGTGGTGCAGATCTTGTACTTCCCCAAACAGGTAGAGAAATTAAGTCCTTGTCAGAGAAATTATTAAGTGAGGTCAAATTTTAGAGTTTTATTTTCCTCCCAAGCAGGTACAGAAGAGTCGTGCAATACTTTCTTTTTTAATATGAAAAAGTTACAAACTAGTTGCTGAAGCAACTGCTGCTGAAATGCATGAGTGCTCCAAACAGACTTAGGTTTCAATTAGTCCTTTGTTCAACAGAGAGTCTGCTAGAATACAGGGTTCATGTTCTCCTTGCCATGGCGTAGATCTCTGTGCTCTTGCAGAATACTAGTTTGGCTACTTTAGAGATAAATTGCTCCAACATTGGATCCCACAGCCTCTCTTCTTTATGACTAATAAACAGAATTCAAGTATTCAAATGCTCAGAGCACACACCACTTCAAAACACTGTTCGGGGATCAGGTTCTCATTGTGCCAGGCTCTGTACACACAAGGGAAGAAGAGACAGGCTTTTTCCGGAAGAGTCACAAACTTGTTTTGCATATAATTTCTATGGATGAGGGGAGAAATTTTTGAGGTGAAAGAGAGTGAAGACAAAGGGAAAAACAGTTTGCTGGATGAATTTATATAAGTAGAAGAGTGTCAGGCAAGGCTTGGTCTATAGAAAGGTTTTTATAGATAAAGTTATAGAATCATAGAATCATAAAATCATAGAACTGTTTGGGTTGGAAAGCACCTTTAAGATCATCGAGTCCAACCATTAACCTAGCACTGCCAAGTCCACCTCTAAACCATGTCCCCAAGCACCACATCTACACGTCTTTTAAATACCTCCAGGGATGGTGACTCAACCATTTCCCGGGGCAGCCTGTTCCAATGCTTGACAACCCTTTCAATGAAGAAATTTTTCCTAATATCCAATCTAAACCTCCCCTGGCGCAACT